AAAAAATTTTATTTACATTTCTTTTTACGGCAAGCAAACAATTTTTATAAATTTGGGTAAAAATATAGAAAAGGGAAGCAACCATCGATTTTGGCATGTAAATAAATTGTAAAGTTACGATTCTGAGTAATCTTCAACACGTTTTTGCAGTCGCTTCTTGTTCATTAAAAAGTTATTCATAAAAAAAGTTTAAAAAATGTATCAGTTTTTATACTTGCATTTCTTACTCATGTAACTTAATGATTTTTCACGCAAAGCGAAATCCATCTCCCCCCTGAGAGTGCACAACTTTCTACACAAAATTAATTTCATCCCATCTCTTTCCCTGTCAATGGGTATGACTTCATGCGGATAGATCTTACTTTTATGAAAAATCGCTCTTTTTTCTACTAATTTCTCCCATTTATTGTAAAATTTCAAACGTAAAAAAAATTAATAGCGTATCAATTTCTTTTCATAGAAAAACGTACCTGCTCCATGGATCCGCTTCTGATTGAAAAACAATGTATAATTTCAAAAGATAAGGCTTGATGATGAAGGCCTTCAAAATTTCATCAAAATAAGCCGAATGATTTTCAAAATTTTTGGAAAAAAACAAAATTGTTTTTCATCATGTTTAATACCATGTTTCTTTGAAACTATTCGTAAGCCGTTTCGCACGTGTAAAGTTTTCATCTCGAATTTATGTGAGGAATCATCCCTTAAAATCTTTCAGCGTACTTAAGACACATTCTGTGCATACTCTTTTAATATTTTTATTGGCGGCTATTGGATCTACGATTTTAATATTCTAATGTTATGTATAATATTTAAATCAAAATTTCTATGATAACTGGAACATAATTTCTACAGTAAGAATGAAATACATACACGTATGTATGCGCTTGCTGTCAACTACAACTGTTACCAAATTTATATTTTTTACACTGGGCACTATAAATAATATATACTATAAATTTTAAAAAATGTTTACAGAATAATGTTTGCAGCGAGGATTTATAAATATTATCTGTATCGCAACGCGTCACTCACGAATGAGTACGTGGTGATATGTATGCAATGTTACAGGATATGCGATATGTATACGAAGTGTGGATGTATTAGCCGTGCGTAGGAACCCGTGAAGATAAAGTACGCGTTGAATCATCAAATTTCGCATTTTCACAAACAGGTTATCTCATATAACTGCTTGACATCATTATCGGTGGTATGAAATTTATAAAGTTTTGGTTTATCAGCTGTTAATTAGGCTGTATTTGCGCTTTGTTTCTCCGCGTTTGAGTGATAAATGTCCCACGTGTTTAAAAGATGATTATGATAACTTTTTTTATAAAACGTAATTAATAACAAGAAATATTATTTACTTTTATCATGCGGCAATTAAGAGTTAGAGAAAATGAAAAACTTTTTATAAATCTAAAAAAATCATTGGAGAAAATTTCAGTATATAAAATCCGATTAAAAGTTATTAACAAAAAAAGTTTGCCCTCCTCTCCTCTACCCGCCAAGTCGTACGCTTCTTGGCAGAAAAGGGAGGGGGGAGGTGGTGGGCTGAAAGTCGTTTTATTTGTGGAAAGTCGGACGCCCCTTGGCAGGGAGCAGGTGAAGTGGATCTCGCTTCTCATGGAAAGTCGTAAAATATATTTTAAAGCAAACAATTTCTGTTTTATATAGTATTAGAAAAGAGATATTATGTTTCGAACTCCTTTGATAATAACTTTTTAACGAATAACGATCTGAAATCTGTTGACCGTCATCTTAACAACAGAATTACTATAGTCTGTCAGATCAGATTATCGAGATAAATTGGTTTAAAGAGCTCAAAAATAGCAATTTTAGTCACGTTCATTGATTTATTGCTAACAACGAAATTTTTTCTTGCCAATTTTGCATACAATATCTTAAAGTACTAGCTTTTATCTTTAAAATTAATTTTATTTTATCCTGTACGATTTTTTTTGGAATACTATAATATCAAAGTTTGGAATTAGAAAATCTATAGCGCATTGTAGCGTAGCACTTTAGGCTAATACATCATTCATTCAACTTTTGTGAGTAAATTCTAAATTTAATAAATATAAAATTTATTGAAAGGTCATAACGGAAAGAGAGAATAAGCATATGAAATCTGCACCAATCGAGCTCAAATTAGTATCGTTAGTTGACACGCTTGGGATATAAAACTTTTCCAAACATTAATCTTGAAGATGCATTTTTTGGGAAGTTAGAAAGAAGGAAATCAAAATAACACAAATGTAGTTTTTCTCGAAAACGACTGGACCGAAAATTTTAATGAAAAAAATACATTTTGTAAACATCGTTTAGGTAAATTTAAGAAAATTTTTTGTAATTTTTATGATTAAAAATTTTTCGAATTTTCTAAGAATTTTTTTGCCAATATTTTTAAGATTATACCACTTTTACATTTTTTACGAAAACATCTCCAGATTGTTCATTTTAATACAATATATATATTTTTTTAAATCGATTGAAGGTAAAAAAACATGGTTCAAAATTGTTCACGCAACAATTATTCACGCAACGTCATATCGGCTGAATGACCGCAACGCACGGCTCGTACGATCGTGACTCGTTAGCACACTTACATACTTACTAGCTTTGTTGCAGTGTTGTAAAATTCAGTACCAAGAAAATTGAAATAGAAATAAAGATTTCATTATTGTCCACAATTAATTCAATAAAAGAAGACTCTTGTGATATATCTAAAATAAAAAGAATTAATTGCCAACATCGATCTGTTCAAAATACAAAAAAAAAATAGCATGTGCAATTTGTCTTAAAGACAACAAGGAAGATTGGATTTAGTGCTGCAGTTGCATGGAATGGGCGAACGAAATATGTACGAACATTCCTGAATCCAAATAGGAATACATATATAAAAATGTCTTAACTAAGTTTAAAATCATTTATTCTGTCCTAAGATATGATATAAAAACAGTTTTTAAGTTAACAATATATTTTTATACTTAATAAAAATATCATTTTTGTAAAAATGGATTGTTGAGTTATAAACTGTTTTTATATCATATCTAGTAAATATGTATATATATATATATGATTTTTTTAATATTTTAAGTTAAACTTTTCTTATCATATCTTCAGATAAGAATGATTAGAAATATAATTTTTCCTTATAGCTATATAGTATCCAGTCCAATAAAATCATCTTGCTTGAACGTTAATAAAAATTATTGAAAACCAATATTCAGCGATTTTTAGTAACTAATATCTTGTTAATCATTGCAAAAATTGTAAAATGATAAAGTCGATTTCTCGACTCAGTTTAGTCCGCTCTATCTACACAAAAGTGCTTGGCAAAAATTATTTACGGGACATTCTTTATATATGTAAATGACTATAAACTCATTCGAGCTATTCTTACACAATTGAAAAATTTATGTTAATTTAACATATTTGTCTCCAAACCTGATACATGGCTCATCAAAATTTTTGTATTAACATACAAAATAAATATATTTGAAAGTAACATAAATGTTATAAAATAATTAAATTACAAAAAAATGTAATAGTGACCCAATTTGGAAGCAAATTATAAAAGCTATTTCTTCAATAAACTTAACATTTCTAATATATTAAATTAAGGTAAACAATAATAACCTGTTCGTTATTAAAACACAATATCAACTGTGTTAAAAAACTATATTAAAAGACAAGCGAATAAATTTGGATATTATAAATTAAAATCGAGCAAAATCAAGTTTCAACTTTACAAAGTTTCTTCTTCAATCGCAAAGATATTAGATACAAAATTAATATATAAATTTAAAATTGTAGTGGTGATTAGAAAAAGAGAGACCTATCACTATAACGCATTGTAAGGCCAGCGTAATGATTTTAATGCATATTAAACATTAAGTTCTATTAATATACTTATAACAATAATTTTGTTGTAACAATAACTTATAACAATCTAATTTATTCGTTTGTCTTTGACCGTTTTTTAATACAATTAACATTAAATTAACGTTTCATTCATCTTAGAACTTGTGCTTTAAAAAAATACGTTTTTATGTTATTTGTTTATTTATCCATAGAATGTGTTATTTTTTATGACAATAAGAAACATTACTTTAACATTAGATCACGGGTCTAAATTAACTCAATCATGGTTCAAGGTAACTCTGAATTTTTACAAAGGAGCTTTGTCATCATAAAAGTAAAATTATTTGTAATTAACTGATTATTTATGAAAAATCACAAAAATCTAAAGGCCGATATGCAAAATTAACTGGCAAAGAAGGAATTATCAAATTGGTCAAATATCGCACAGCTGCGATTCTAGTGTTGGATTAATGCAAAATATTCAAATAACATGATCATATTAAATTAAAACTCGTATATGTCGAAAATTCAATAAATTCAAAAAATGTTAAACGGAGTTTTTGTATTTTTCAACATAAATACAAAATTCTTTACCTCACAATTGTTTAAAATGATTCCATTTAATATAAAACTTATTTTTAACACTAGTTAAAATAACATTTTGGAATTTTTTTTCATTCTTAAGGATAAGCGTAATTGGGTATACGCATCTCACGTTCTTTTATCTTTAATAATTAAAATATTCCATTATATACGTATATCGGAATATTTCGATTATTAATAATAAGCCAAAATATGTACTGTCCCATATTCAATCCATTCTGTTCACAAAATTAGACTTGTGAAAGGAACTTGTATCAGAAAGAACTACACAACATCTTGAATCTTATCCATATCATTACAATATGATACCTTTAAATAATCTATGATATTGCCTTAATGGCGATTGTGTAGCTTTTTTTCCTCGAGCCATATCATTTCCCGCTATTGGCCTCAATTCGGCGCTTATCTTCTGCGTTGGATAAATGGCACGGTGGCGCGTACTTTTCTTCCCGAAATTTGCATAGTGCGCACCGTGCACGTAATCAACGGCCAGCCGGGGAGAAGTCGCCCACTTGCCTTCGCCGAACAGGCTTTATCGGCAAACTCACGCTCGTGCGACGCAGATATAACCGATCAGCAAGTACGCGCTCGGTTATATCGTCCGAGATACGGAGGCAGGAACTTATTTGATTTTTCACTGACGTCGATCACGCGCGCACTTTTACGAAATCAACGGATCCCATTCGCCTTGCCGTGATCGACGAGTATTAAACCTGCGTGTTGGACTGAATACTTACAACGGAACATGATCGTCGCGGTTCTAATAATCTTCCTTGTAAACGGCCTGAACAATGCGGCCTCGATCGCACACGTCGACTGCACCACCTACCCTGGACCGGCGGATCTTTGTGACAGGTGAGTAAAAATCAAGAGCTGCGCATAATCAAAGAAATAGGAAACAGGAAATAGAAAATAAGAATTTCAATCTATCAGAAACTGTATTGTACAGTATTCTACAGTATAATTGAAATTCTTCTTATTCTCTGTTCCTTTTATTCTGCGCAGTCCCTCACAGACTTCTATAGTATACTGAAAAAAAAATTTATGAAATTTGAATAAATATTTATTTAGATAATACTAATGGGACCATTTACTTACAGTAAATAAATATTTGTTTAATTAAAAAAATTATACTTAATTTATTCGTTTTAAGTTTTAAATCGAATAAATAATTATTTTCTGTAAGCAAATGATTTCATCGGTTATTTATTTAAACAAATATTTATTATCTCCCATATAGGGTATCCCAGGTATACCTATGATGTCATTTCTCGTGAGGAGGTAGAGCGTATTAAATTAAATCAAAAAGTTCTTTACCATTTTGTAATTTTCATAATAGTTAACAAGATACTAATTTCTAAAAATTTCCCAATAAATATCCGTCCGGTCTACCACTAAATACAAGCACGCAGTGCAATACGACCGTTTAGCGTGAGAAGATATTTTCTTTCATTGTTCGTGCGTAGCCCAGGCCGTTTGTAATAAACAACGTTTTGCATGTCCAGTATCAATGATGAACGGTCCTATCCTGTCGCGCGTTTGTATTTGGCAGTAGACCAGTAATATTCAGCATTTTTAGAAAATTATTATCTCGTTTCCGTTAGGGAAATTTTAGAAAACTTAGAAAAAATACTCTTAAAACTTAGTACAGAGGAAACCTAAGAAATATGAAATATGGACACTTTAAACTTTTTTTTTAAAGTAACTTTAAAACTTGCTTAAAGAAAAGAATTGAAACATATCGTATGTAATCTCAAGTAAAGGATTGGAATATTATCGTGTGTTATTAATACTTAAATTAACCATCACCGCAAATCCATAAGTCATTTTATGTTTTAATGACGTATTTTCACGCAACTAACTAAAAATTAAGAGTTAATAAATATTTATTCTCGGAAAGTATTTAATTTATTTATTAGGTGTACAACTTTGCTTCCGCCGTTTTTTTTTCGAAATTCGAGGCTTTATTGTAAAAAACTGGTTATACTGGTTCATGATTCAAAGTATTGTCCATCGCTGGCCACTACTTTTTCCCATCTTTCGGGTAGCATACGAATCCCGCGTCGAAAAAACTGGTCATCTTTTGAGGCTATCCACGAATCGATCCAATTTTTTACTTCTTCATAAGACCGGAAGTGCTGGTCAGCCAGGCCGTGTGCCATTGATCGAAACAAGTGATAGTCAGAGGGAGCAACGTCTGGAGAATACGGCGGGTAGGACTTCCCATTTCAATGTTTCCAGATATGTCTTGACCACTTTCGCAACATGGGGTCGAGCATTGTCATGCTGCAAAATCACTTTATCGTGTCTCTCGTTGTTGCGGCCGTTTGTCTTTCAATGCTCGGCTCAAATGCATCAGTTGCGTTCGATACCGATCGCTTGTGATTGTTTCAGTCGGTTTTAACAGTTCATAATACACTACGCCGAGCTGGTCCCACGAAATACACAGCATGACCCTGGACGTCACCGTTCTTGAAGCATTGAAACCACTCACGACTTGTTCTTTGACTAATAGCGGCCTCATCATAAGTATTTGAGAGCATTCGATGAGCCTCAGCCGCAGATTTGCTTCATATTGAAGCAAAAAATTAAAACCTCCCGCAAATGACGAGAATTTGGCTCGTAAACTGACATTTTCAATCGAGAATAACTTTATGATACAGACACAAATCGACTAATGTTTCTATGGGGTTGACAGATGCCCAAGTTTATTGTACGATGTCTATGATCTATTTATTTCGACCACCACTTACCGCTAAAGCCATCTATAGGAAAACGGCGGAAGCAAAGTTGTACACCTATAATATTTACTTAAGGAACACATAAAAGTCGATAAAAAATCAAATTATTTTGATCCTGAAAATCAATGAACAGTCAAATTATGTAACCAAAAATCATTTGTAACATCAAATAAGTCATTTTGACTTTCTCTTGACTTGATATGTTTTTTGGATACTTTGATTTAATAAATAAATATGAAAGAAGTGTTAATTAAATGAAATTAATGATTTTCGTACAAATAAATATTATATATGATTACATTTAGTAAATATTCAACTAATTCTATTTAAATAAATATTTATTAAAATTTATAATACATTCCCCTAGTGTAAATTTGACTAAAATTTCACTATTTGCTTTATCGATCGTTTGTTCAATCGATTACTTCCATACGGACATATTGATTTTTCATATGTAGAACATTACACTTTCAACGCTTTTTCCCCCTTTTTCCTGTTTCTTAGAAATTTGTCCAAAGGAAGTTTTACCATTTCCTGTCTTGTAAAGTTTCATGTTTATTTTATAATATTTCTTTTCTCTCTCTCTCTCTCTCTCTCTCTCTCTCTCTCTTTTATCAGAAAGTTTTTAAAAATATTTTGATAGAAAATAGATGTACAAATTTAGCATGTGAACGTTGATGTTACCAAAAATAATCTTGTCCGAATAATCAAGAATTTTCTCTTCTTCGGCAGACTTTTATAATCACACAAAGAAACACGCTCAAAATTGTTTCAAAGTTATTTAGAACAGAAAAAAATACTTGCTAAAATATGTAAAACTTGGATAAATCAGATCTGGAAATAATTTTACTTACACTATCAAAATTATTATGTATAGAATGCTCAAACATAATGCCGTAATGTTAACATTCTAGTAATAAGCTTGAGCGTTCTACATAATTATTTTTATGGTCAAACATAATTATTTTCACATCTATATCTAATTCCAGATATTTTAGCAAAATCGCATTTATGAGATATATATTTTTAAACGGCAAAGTAAATGTGGATTTGGCACGAGTTCATACAAAATAATCTTGGTACCATTGAAGCTTTTGCAGTCACTTGGACCATTTATCAATCCCTCATTCGGCAGTCAGGTCATTCGTAGTAGAATGAAACTTTCGCCATTGTTTCGAGGACACAATTATACTCCTCGTCAGAATACTTATCGCTACAAAAGATAACTTCTTGATGAATGTTTGTATAATTCCCTGATATGTACTTTCGTATCATCTGCGAGTTTCGACATAACATAAAACTGCTTTTGTTACTATTCATAATTATTTATAGTTTGGTCAAGCAGATAAGGGAATATTTACATACTTTGTTAAGGATCATCGTTTCTTAATTATGGAATTAAGCTGGTTTAGTTGAAGTTTCCTGAAGTAGAAACCAGGAAGACTAATTAAGAGAGAGAGAGAGAAGTTACAAGTTCCATTAATTGATTAGTCTCTTGCTTGGCTATAAGATAATGTAAAATTAATTGTCAATATAAAACATGCATTGGGACAATAATATAAAATTAATTCATTCATTCATTGTATTCACTACAATATATGATAAATAAAAGAAGTCCAAATGTATTTTTTATGTTATACAAATTTTATAACAGCAGCATTTTTAATTACATTGTAACAGATGAGGAAAATGGATTTGCATCGCTTTCAACTTTTAAGAAATTTGATCGTTTAATATTATTGTATTCTATAATATTATATATATTAATTTCTCTTGTTCTATACTACTATTTGCCTTTTCAAGAAGCTATAGCCATAGGTAAAACAGCATTCTATTTGATGAACATAATTTTCTAAATATTCTAATTCTAAGACAGAAACATTAATGAATAAGTACAAATAAACTAAGTAATTAAAGCCTTTCAAATGTAGTATTTAAATTAAATTCTTATTTTAAAACTGAAAAATTTAATATTATTTTGACGTTTAACTACTTCAAAGATAACACAACAAACAAACGTTTACATTTGCTTTATCTTAAGAAACATGTAGCATTTACACTCGCATTTATGACTTCACGTCGAATAAAAGCATTATCAATTTGAAAAATTAGAGTACTGTGATAACCGCTTATCTGCTAGTAATCAGACATCGTTCGTATTTAAAAAGTAAAACAATCGATAAAATCGTGAGTGAAAGTCATTTGTTTTACTTTCTTTCAATTACATGAAATTTTTTACATATAGTTTATTGATGCTTATCAATTAACAACAATATAAATTTTCATTAGATATATGTAGAAGTTTTAGACTTTTTTTTTAAATTTTCTTTCATTTACATGTAATATGAACACTTTCTTTTATTTTTTTGACTAAATCGTATAATTGACGATAATATTAACTTTTTAAATTTGAAAAATAAAATTGGAAAAACAGTTACGAATGTTCGAGGCCATAAAAATTATTTAAATCCGAATAAACCAAGGCCGATAAAAGTTTGAATGATAAAATAAAAAACGAAGATCATATTCATTGCATTTTTGATTTCTCAAAACATAACAAGGAATTTGTTCTTGCACCGCTATGAACTCCCATTTCTATCTGAATGTACTGGATCATCTTTGCAAAAGGATTCAACGAATTCGATGAGACCAATGGAAAGAAAGAGATTTTTTGCTGCACGACAACGCGCCCGCTCACATGGCTGGAATTGTGACCCAATTTTTAGCATAAAACAAATTCTTATGCTTCACTATTCTTTATATTCACCTGATTTAGCTCTGTGTGACTTTTTTCTGTTTTTTCTTCAACTCAAGGGACATAAAGGGAGAACGCTACGACAATTCAAAGGACACGAAACGTGAAACGTGAAAATTAAAGAGAATTTTAAAAGAAACTTATAAAAAAATTTTAAAAGAAACTTATAAAAAAATTTTCAAAAGTTATATGAACGTTGTAATCGTTGCTCTCTAAATCTTTTTGAGCCAGTCTTAAAAAGAATAAAAACTTTCACTCTTTTTGAAAAGTGAAAACTTTTTATTCTTGAACAAGAATGACAGATTTTTTATTCTTTTTTAAAGTAAGATTTCGTTCTTTTGGATTCACTAAAAGAATAAAATATCAATTCGTTTTTTGAAATGAGACTTTATTCCTTAAAGTGACTTTCATTCTGAAAGAATGAAATTTATAGTACAATACATGGTCATAATAGCGAAATTTGAATAGCTAAAGCATTCGATTCATTTTACAAAGTTGTGCATATGGAATTTTTTAATCTCTTTTTGATGCTACAATCCTAATTATGCCTCAGTACTGTTCAGTCCAAACATAATTCTTTTCTTGTTGTAACTTATTTGGGATTAATTGTATGACAATTCGGAGGAAAGGAATTAACAGCTAAGGATCGAAAAAATCCTCAAACTGATTAAAAAAATTAAAATTAATAATTTTACTTATTGTTAGAAAATTTAAACATTTAATTGTTATTACATTAAATTGCTACCTTTAAAAAATAAATCAAAAATCGAAAAATAAGTCAAATAGAAATATTTGTATTAGATAGAATTAACTGTATCTATGATTAATTAATGATTGAAGATATAGCGATTTTAATTTAATCTTGAATATACACAATGATTTTTCGAACCTTTATTATACATGCTATGAATCTTTTGTATCCTGTTTTTGTTAATAATTATTTGAACAAATAGTGACCTAAAACTTTTGAAGGTTTCTGAAGGTCACTTAAAGTCATGACCTTGACAACATATATCAAGATCAAGGTCATCGAAGAGATGTTTCCCAATGTGAAGAAATACCAATAAAAATAGTTTTAAATCCCAGAAGTGTAGGAAATTTTTTTTTATGTTATATCATGTTTCCTTTCATAAGTTGAATTTTCGTATACCATGCTAGAACTTATCACGATGAACTTATCATATATGCATTTGTTTAAGCATATGATCGCAAATATAAAGCACAATACAATTCATATGAATGTTCTCAACAAAGCATATAATATGAGATAGGTTCTGTATTGTGCGCGGTGTTTTTATGAAATTTTATAATTTATTTATTATATATTCTTCATCCTAAATATCTATTTGTCTCGTAATTATTTATGTTGTGAAATAAATTGTCTATGTATGTATGAAATGTAATGATTAATTCGCCTCCAAGAGAATTACTCTATAGACTTTTTAATAACAATGACTGTTTTGATTTGTTACTATTGGCAACTACATTGACATAGTCGAATAATAAGTTCGAAAAAAATCTGTTAATTTAACGTTAGTCAAATAATAATACGTACTACATTACGTATTGGAAACATCGCCGCGTAAAAACATTGAATTTTTATTTAATCAATGTTTGATAATTACAATTATCGTTACATTTCTGTATTGATTTTCAGCCAAGTTTACTGTGAAGGACCTCTATTACGTACGGTGCAGCTCGCTGGAATTTTTAATGACAGCAAAACCTTTGTGGATCTTTATCAGTTACACGATCCAAATGTGACCGTCGAAAAGTAAGTTGATGTCTCGATAAAAACAAAAAAATTTAAACGTATGAAACTTAATATTTCTTCTTCTCATTTAAAAAAATGATAAAAGAAGATTATTTCTGTCGTTCCGTATGTCTTTCTCAATGCACTCAGTCTATTTCCTTTTGCGGATAACTGTATAAAAATAAGGTAAATATTTATTTTTACACAGCTCGCCCCAAATAACTTCCAAGTAACCTTGATATTGACCTTTAAGAAAATCAAAATTATTGATTTTTCGCGGCGCTCTCTTGCTACTTGTTAAAAAGTTACTAATGAAATAAATTTTCCACGTGGGTTTTCGACTTTCTACATGAAGCGAGAATCTGCCTGTCTATATTGCGTCCACGGCAGTGAGCTCTATACATACTGGAGACTGGAGTGAGCCTTCCCTATGCTAATAGCGGTGGAGGGGGGGGAGGGAAAGATGGCCGACTGTGCGAGAATGACAGCTACGCATGTTGGGTAGAGACCCTCTAATCAGAATCGCGACACGAGACGATTTAAACCGACTTTTGTATGCAGGGTCATAATTTTAACAAAATCGATAACAGAGAGAGAGAAATATATTAGTACCTCTGTCTAATCTTAACGCGTTTCTAATCTACTTGCGCTGACAGCAACTGACAAAACACGCGTATTGTATTTTCTATATTTTTGTATTAAAAGTTATTAAAGAAAATTATTAAAAATGATTGGGTGTGCAGCACCATTTTGTAATAATTCAGTAGCCAAAGGCTAAATACTAAAAGCATTTCCTCGAAATTGCGAACGTTGTGCATTATGGGCGAAAAATGTTAGCGAAAGATGTTGGGGAAATGATGTGAAAAATTGGATGCCTGCAACAGCAAATTCTTTTTTCGCATGCGTTATTTCGATATGTAAGAAATCTATTTGTTAATGCCTTTAAAATAATCCATTTCAATTTTACTGTTGAAATTTAAAAGTAACATATTCAATGTACATATTCAAATATAGGCGGGAATTGTTAAAACATGCTGGACCAATCAAAATGCGGCTTTCTCTGTCGCAAAAGCGTCTCTAAGGATACTTATTCAACACACATAGCTGTCACTCTGGACATATGCGTCCTCATATGAGGACGTCTCTCTGACTCACATGATTCGCACGAGTGACGCGCACGCATATGAATCTTTAGTATTCGCATGCGTGCGGCATTCATAGCAGCGATAGCATCTTTTAGCGGCTATATTAATTAGCGTTTACATCATAGAGGGGGGAAGGGCAAGAAAGAACATTTTATGTTATTATTATACTATATTATTATTACTATTACTATATTTTGGATCATGCCCCCCTTAGAAAAAGTCTTCGGATCCAGCCTGTTCTACAAATAGGACTGCCATAAGTCGTAAGAAATTGATTAATCACAGTGGAATATGAGAGAAATGCGTGCGTACATGTGATGACACTTGATGTTGCATAAATGCGATTCATTGCGCTCGCACGCATGCCCCCATCACGTTGTGCGAGCAGTATGATAATAGCATGATGTGCGCACGGCATGATATGCACGGCGTGATTGCATAATGTGATTCATTGCGCTCGCACGTATGCCCCCATCACGTCCACGACGTGCGAATAATTCGCGGCGTGCGTGCATCATGATATCACTATGCGGGCATTTTATTATCCGAGAGGCTAATGGTCTGTTTTCTGTTCCTGCACTAGACTGCTCTAGAATTCCCTTTCTCGCTTTCGACAAATATCAAACATATATCTATCTCACTTTAAATTCTAAAAGTGTACTAGTTTAGCTATAGAAAACAGACCTTAAGATTGCTCGAGAACGCACTACTTAAAAGTTCATATTGAGCTTTATGACGCAATTTAGATAGTAACAGCTGAAACTTACAGAATGTGCCTTTTTGATTAAAAATGGTTAGCCATCTGTGTATAAAAGATAGTTGTGATTATTGCAACGCATAACAAGGGAGATATACATTAACTCATGTAATTTTAATCATTTTCTTATTGTATTTGTCATGAATAAATTAATTGATTTTTATATTTATATCGTGTGCATATGTGTCTTTGCTTCGTGCTTAGTGATATATTATTTAATGTTTGTAATAGTCTTTATGGTTATATTACAAAAGAATAAAAATAAAAAGTGATACATGGCTTAAAAGTTTTTTGCAAATTTCATTCAGCCCGTTAAAAACAATGATAGCAGTATGATACAATTTATATATTTTGTAATGCTTTGTATTTTAATTCTAAATTCGGTAAAAATTAGTGTCAAAACTGCAATCTCATATTGATTGCGCTGAGATCGACCATTAAACAAAAACTTACTTATGTGACATCTGCATATAAAAAATTCTTTAGATATTTGTAAAAATGTATTTAATCAAAAATAAATGTCCTTTCTTTATCTTAATCAACATTGTTTTTCAATAAGTGACACTTTTTTTTATAATATTGTACGTATTTCTTGACATAATTATTCAACAGTACGTATTTTTATCTTCTTACAATTAGTAAAATTAATCTCTTGTAAAAATGAGTGTATTATATCTGATAAAATTTTAGTTCAAATTATTGTCTAAGGAATAATTTAAGCAGCATTTTATTCAAATTCATTCAAATTCTTATTCGGATTCTTATACAAGTATATAGCATGAAGAAAAAAGTGCGTATTCTTAGATGGTCCTACATTTTAATATATTTCAATATATTTTTTCAATAAAGAGAGAGGAGTTCCATAATTTAAATAAATAAATTTTTAAATAATTCTCCCTTTTTCCTTTCATTAATTTATTCCTAAAACGTCAAAAATGGTTGGAATAATATCAAAAATATCAAATAATACATTTGTTTATAATTTAAAAATAATTTATAAGAAGCAAGCAGTAAAACAAAGGCAACATAATCTGGTTAAAGAAGAAAATATCGAGAATAAAAATCGAAAATCTTAATGTAATACTACTAATAATAATTAATATAATTTTTATAAATGAAAGATTTTATTTGTTATAAACGTATTAAAACAATAGAGGGCTACTTCACTCACACATTTGTATTTTAGATATAAAAAAGTTATTTTCTTCCTCTCCTTCTCTTTTTTCCTTCCCCTTTTTCCTTTCTCTCTTTCTCACCCCCTCCCCATTCCCCCCCCGTCGCTCCTAATAGTAATATATTTTTTTCTGTTAAAATTAATTGCGAAATAATCAATTATGTAGCGGAATGGAAGAATTTCATTTTGAAATAGAAAAGCATACCTACATATTATAATTTCGATGTGTCTTTGATCTGTAATTTTATGCTTACTTGACGCTCGATCTTCATGTTATTTCGATTAAAAGAATACGAGAGTATCGTTTTAAACTTAACAAGAAACATAATCCCTATGATGAAGATCTTAATTGTGTAAACGGCAGATAAAAGTAAATACCCGTAGATTTATTTCCTAAAATCGTATATAAAATAGTGATCGTTTATATAGATATAAGATTATAGCGATACTTTAATTTTAATTGAATGATATATATCGAAAACAGATATCGTTGCATAATAATCTTTACACTTTATTGTCGATTGAAAGTTTTTTTTAATCCAATCCTAATTAATAATGTGCTAAAGTAATATCTTGTTAACACATAAATAAAATAATCAGATAAACAAGAGATAAAAATTAATCTTTCACTATGAATCAAGGCCAACAAATTATATCGTTCGAAATTTTGTCATAAGTTGTTCTGCCGACTAAATTGAATTATCAATTAATTTAACAATAAATTTGTATTATTTACACAGAAATTTCAAAAATAATATTTAAAAACAATTCTTGGTAAAATTCTTTTTATCATGACATTTTATTCTTGATATATGATTTTTAAGCTTTACATAAACATTGTAAGATAGGAACTTCATTTTTGCACGTGGTCGATTCATGAACGCAATGATCAGATTTCTTAATGGACATTTTTCGTTAATATCTATTGACTCATGCAATGAGCTTCACGTTAAATCATTGTTCAGAGATATTTATGGTTTTTTTTTTATGATGTCGACTTTCAGAGTTGATTCGAGTTATAAAAATTCTTCAAATTTTTTAGAATTACATTCTCTTACGACTTTATTCTGATTTCGATAACAACGTGGACAATGAGTTAAGTACTAGAATTATGTGGAGGGGAATCTTATTTGGGATTATCGGATTTGTTTCTGTAGCGTATACACGCGCGTGTGCGTGCGTGCGTGCGTGCGTGCGTGCGTGCGTGCGTGCGTGCGTGCGTGCGTGCGTGTGTGTGTGTGTGTGTGTGTGTGTGTGTATACATTATTATTAAAGTTCACATCAGAGACCCTCTTCTACATTTCTGAAAAGGCAATGTAGTGTACAAAATCACGTATAAAGATGTGATGCTCCTATGTCGGACAGACGAGCAGACAATTAAAGATAAGAATTTCAAAATATTAATACTATATATTAGGTATAGTAAAAACAAATCCATTATTTTTCCATTAAATTTCATGCAAAAATAATGGATTTCTTTTTACTACACCTAATACATTGGAACACCTTTGCTCCTTCTATAACTGATCATATAATGCAATATAATCATAATTGGGATTAAGATCTTAGATGAAGAACCTTTTTAGTAAACATTTAATCTCTGACATGCTTAATATTGAAAAACAAATTAACAGTCTCAATCTAGATACAGAAGGTCTTTATAAAGCGTATATACCGATAATCAACAGTATTTGACCTTGTACTATCATTGTCTATTCAGTCAGTGTTTGTCCATTGTCGTTTACTTTATATTTAGTTTAATTTATTATATTTTATTTAAGTCTTTATATTTAATTTTTTATTCTCTGGCTAGAGACATAATAATTTATTATCATTTTTTATCATTAAAATTTTTCATCATTTTTTATATTTATTATTACTTTTTATTATTACAATGATTGATTTACTGGTTTACTGATTAATTCATTAACGCGTCTGTTATGTTTGATTAATTGCAATTTGTCCACGATCGGTAAGTTTTTACCAGAATAAGAATTGATTCTGCTACCTCTTAGAAAAAAAATTTGTTCTTAAATTTTTATTCGTTAGATTTAGATTTCTTTATACTTCTCCAACTATCATGTGAACAGCTTTCATTACTCTGGGAATAACTTAACCAAAAGCGTCTTACTTTGAAAAGGTAGAGTCTTATTATGTAATTTAGAGGCCTTTTCTGAAGAAGATCACGTTACCATGTCAAGATTTCTAATTTATAAGATATGAAGTTTGAACGATAACTCTATGTGAACAATTGAGAGAATATAATTTATTTCACGCAACAAGTTGTATGATTGGCTCTGTATTTTATATATTTTTAATTTTTGTTATTTAAAGCCTTTTATTATTTTTATTGTATTATTATATTATTGTATTATTGTTTTCTTTTTCGTTAGATATAGAAGTTTAGTTTACATCAATTTGTTAAAATGCTTTGGCCAAAATTTTAATGTCATATAATATTATACAATAACCTAAAATATATGGCATACGAAATTATAAACAGAATTGTTACACTTTATAGAATTATTAAAATTTAATTTAAATTTATAAAATGAGTTTTATATAAAAGGATTTTATTACAATACAGAAACTTTTAAAATCCTCATAAATCCAGAGAAAGAGAAAGAATATACTAGATGCACTGTAAGTGCATCAATGCTAATTTAATTCGATTTGTGTTAGCTTCAACATTTTCATGAAGGCTACCAGCAACTCTCCTAATCGCACCGAGGTAGCTACGTTCGTCGCGGAAAACTTTGCTATGCGGGAAGAACTGGATAATTCGACATTGCCGGATTGGAAGGAAAATCCTGGTATTTTAAAGTCCATCAAGAATCTTCAGTATCGCAAATGGGCAAAACGTTTGAACTACATTTGGAAGACTCTGGCAAGAAAGATAACTAATGATTTAGTGATCAATCCGCAGCGGCACAGTTTGATCTACGTAAATAACACTTTTGTCATTCCCGGTGGACGATTTAAAGGTAATTTTCCGCGTGCGAAATAAAATTCATTTTCCAATTTTTTTTAAAGTCAACGAGCCAACGTCTAATTATTTTATTAATAAGATATTTCAGTCTATCAAATGAAATGATTGTTTTTAGCGAATTTAGCCGAATCTGATTTACATCCTTAAAATAACATTTTTATTAACTTGCATATTTCCATGGATATTAAAAGCATTTAACTTTGCTCTTTTATAACTTTTTAACTTTATAACTTCTTTGGATTGCATGCATAAAAATTTCTTATTTTATGAACTTTAAAAAAATTACATCTGTAAAAACTTTTCTATTCTTGATAGCAATAATTTTTATAATTACTCAGCTATTTTTGTTGATTTACGTTGGTAGTAGCAAAAGAAGTGATTTACCTTTCATATGTTTTATGCCACTAAGGTGTGTGAATAATTTTTATTATAATATACGTACACACATATATATATATATA